GGCTGCAGCCTGCCACCAGGCTGTCCTCTTCAGGTTAACACACCATAGGTCCAGTTACCTTCATAATAAGATAGGGATGTGTGACACTGGAAGAGTCATTCCATTTGAACTTGATAGACTTTCAACACATTTGTGCACACTGGGACCAACTTATTAGATCTAAGTCACTGCTGTTGTTTTGTAGCATTTAACTGAGAAGTATGGAAGCCTCCTTCTCTCACTGAATATGATGCACACATTCCACCTTTGCTGCCTTCAGTTTTCTGACAGTTAATTTCAGATCTGCCCAAACCACAGAGGAGTAAATTTTGCACACATTTCCCAGCTTTTTAAAAACACAAATCACAATCCCTTTAAAAAACAAAAGTCTATGTGCTGTCTCAACTTCCATCAGATTGAATTGGCATCATAGCAAAGTTGGGAGAATAGAATCCATGGGTTTGAATCAATTAGATCCATTGGAATTTCACTCCCATCAGATTTCTCAGATATCCATATAAGAAGATTCTTAATAACTTAATGATTTTGAGAAAACACCAAGTTCTGATGTGCCTCATGATTACATTTTTCAATTTCAAAGCTTTCACTGAAGCAGCAGGGGGATCCACTGAGGTCCTTTGCAAATAGTGGATTCTTTAAAACATCATATAGCTTTAAGCAAAAATGCCATTTAGTGCTTTCAGGACTAAATATTATGCAAACTTCACAACAACCCTTTCCAGTCAGTCACAAATATCACTACTCCCTGGACCTCCCTGACTCACTCAAGAGTTTCCAGTTTATTTTCCACCCAGAAACAGCACTGATACCAGCTGTAGTGTGAGGAAGTCTGTTCCTTTGTTTGAAGGACTGCCTTTTACTGCTAGAAATGAGGAACAAAGGAGTCCCATTTGAGTGAGAGTGATCCATGTGGAAGTAAAAGACAAATTTGACTTCAGACATTGAAGAGTCTTGAACTAGTTTTAAGAACATACTTTGTATCAGGCTGTTTTGATGAGCTTATCACAGTATGTGAAAGCAGAAGAAATGTTTTTGGTAGTGTTGTCATAGTTAACCAGAAGGTGATGGTTAGTAAATGCCACAAAAAAGGCATTATTGTTACCTTTGGGAGGAGGGGGAAAAATCAGCTTGCAGCTGAAATTCAGGTAGATGCTGGCAGGATAATTGGCTTCTAATTTATATTTTCCTGTTCCCTGCTGTTGCAACTGTAGTTCCTATAATGATCAGTGCTAGCACAAATGTCTAAGATATTTTGATATGATTACTAAGCCCACAAGAACTATGACAGTGTATTCCATTTATTCACAAGTTTACTTGTGAATAGATTTGTTGCTCCTGAGTTACAGCTGTGAGGGGGATGCCTTCTTGCAGGTGCACATGCAAATAAATAAACAAAACTCCAAATAAGCTAACAGAAAACCCAGATCCAATTAAAAGAAGCCCTCACCTGCCTGTTTGCAACTGATAAAGTCATAAGAAACCAATCAGAAACAAAGTTGATGACTCTCTCCTAAACATACTATAAAGTGCAATCTTATTCATGACTATTCAGAAGTAAGTCACAGTAAGTGAGAATGGAATTGCAACCTAAGTAATATAAAATGTGGGTATAAAATCAGTAGTGACTACTGTGCCCAAAATTATTGCAATCTAGGGTTAGAATCTTAAAATAGTAGAACTGGAAGGGGCCAGAAGGTTATTGGGTCCAACCCCTTGCTATTACAGGATACTGTTACAGCATCCGGGTTAGAGTTTGGGTTTCGGTTCTCTGAACAGCGTCCCAGCCATGTGGGGATGCTTCCTTTTTGCTGTGTTTCATGGACTGTGGAAGCAGGAGGAATTTTAAAAAATCTGATGGTCTAAAATCCATTGTTTGTGAGTTGTATGCCATAACTGCACAGTCTGTTTTTATGCCTACATTGTACATTTAATTTGTGTAAAATGCCTTCTGGGGAGAGAAGATGTGGGTTGCATGGTAGTTCAGGAAGGATAATGCCATAATCATGATCCCAGATGTAATAATCTCCTCTATAGGGGTTAGTTTAAACATCATACTACAAAGTCTTCTTCTATTGGTTGCTTACTGAAAGATTTATTGAAATAAATAAATTAGAGGCATTCCATGGGATTTTATTCTAAGTGCACAATCATGACACAACACCAGGTCATAAAGAAGGGAATAGTTTTGAGGTAGGCTTGCTGCGAAGAAAAATAACTTATTAGCACAAGTACTGAATTTAATGAGTGGCTTCAGATGCTGGAGCCTGACATTTCAAAATCTCACAACAGTTTGCAAGTCATCTTTACTGACTGATTTAAAACCGCCTAGATGCTGCTTTTCTAGAGCAGCTTAACAAATAAAATACCTTTAAAACAATAAAAGGTTAAATGCATAATAATTTCTAGTTTTACTTCACCATGGCTGTCCCCTGCTTTTCAGTATGCAAAGCTGCACTCATGCATCATGTTATGAGCATTTAAGCTGACTGACTTCAGAATGATTATCTGAACACAACTGGATGTGGAGTTAGCTTCTGAGGGGACGGAAAATATAACCCATGGAGGGAGGCTGGGATGTGAATTTAAACTGTTATGTATTTAAGGAGTTGTTCAAGACTTTGTATGAGTTTTGCATCTACTTCCAAACTGCTACAATGACATCAGTATTTTTTATAGAATTGACTTGTCAATCAAGGTGAAATATGCATAGAAATTAAACTGGAAGAATGCAATATGATGTCAGTTACTGCTTGAATGAGAAATAATACGCTCATGGTTGCCTGGATACAAATAAGATGTGTGTCATAGAGGAAGGCAAATGTAAATGAATGAACAAATGAGTTGTCAACTTTTGCTTTAGACTGTGATAAGGGCAAGGAGAACTGCTTGTAACATGGATGACTTGCAAGAGTCGTCTGTATACTTTGCATGTCTTTGGACAGTTAGTCAGTTTTCCTATTTGATTTTGATCCATGTATGTTTAAAAAATATATTCTAGTTCTGCATTCTAAGGCTCAGGATGGTTCTGTATGGCTGTCCCAGTAATAACATATTACCTTAAATAAAACCTACTGAACACTCATTTCTATGCAAATGCTGAACTCTGGCCATCAAAAGCAGATGCAATAGACAATTTTTTATACTACTTCTGCAGAAGATCAAAGTTTAACCTTTGGTGAATCCCTAGTTAAAGGGAATTCCATAGAGCAACTGCTGGGAACACTTTTCTACAGTCCCCTGTATTTTAAGTCTTCCCACCTTTCTGCCAATGAACCTCAAAGCTCAGAGAAACAAACATTAGAATGATCAGTCAATAAAAATTGAATGGCTAAAAATCAAGTGGTCACACAAACAAGAGATAAAACAGCCAAACACTTTACTTGACAGCATACAATTAATTCAGAGCAAAGTCTTTCTTTAAAAAATCAACCTTTGGCTACTTGCCTAAAAGCAAAAATCCAGAAAGAAGTATTGATCTCTTTAGCACAACTTTTGCTGTCAAGAAAGGTGTGCCTTGTGTTCCCACCTGCCATGCTTCAGAAAGCATGGAGATAATCGGCAAATATGGAAGGTGTCTGAACAGAGGGAAAGACTCTAAGGCAAGCCATGTTGGAAGAAACCAGGGATCCAAGCATTTTGTGTATGCAGTGGCTAAACAGCTGCCCATGGGAAAGTTCTTAAGCAATATGAGAGTCACACAACACCTGCCTGCCAATTCCCTAGAAAGTGACAGTCCTAGAGAGATCATTGTACAGCCAGTTTTGGTATGGAGATCTGCCCTTAGCTGTTGTCACAGAGCACAGGAATGAACCTTTGTAGATTAGATCCACATCCTGAATTGTTACTGGAAGTCAGTGGGGAAGCAATACAACTCAGCACTGCAGTTAAAGGACTTTTCTGCATGAAGCATTATCATGTATTCACCATTCTCTGCTCATAGTTGTTTACATGTTATTTTGATGACATTTTTGGCCCTCCAGTTTTGCTTCTGTGTCTAATCAACACTTTCTATAAGTTTTGTTTATATTAGATTAGGGAATATATGGCCTTTAATTGTGAAAACAAAAGAAACTGCATGTTTGTGCTATTCTGCTACAACACAATGGTACCTAGTGGTTATGTAGAGAAAAAGCAGGAAATGAAACGCTCTTCAGACAGTGCTCTGATTTCAATTCTGCAATAAGACTGGAAGTAGATAATAACGGATTAACAGCTGATTAGCAGGCTCAAAGAATGTTCAGAAACTTGCCTCCCCAAGAAGAGAGCTGCAGCATTCTGCATCACTAAAGTTTCCAGAGACCTCAGTCAAGCTGCTGCTGTAGTCCTAAAATATCAGTCTTTTCTGCAGATGATGCTGTGGGGAAAGCACAGAACAACTCAAACACTCCCTGTTTCACTGCAAAACTGAGCTGCAGTAGTATTTAAAATCATTCTATTCTCTTGATCCAATTAAATATTTCCTTAACAAATGTGCAATTCCAAATACTGAGATGATAGGTCTGAGGGTGGGTTATTTTTTCCTGCAAGTGTCCCTTAATACAAGGCTTTCTCCACACTGAGGCTGGAGAGCAAAACAGGTGAACACTAAATCCTTTGCACTGTCTGCCAGTTCCCCCAGTATCCCACCCCACTGCACCTGATAACGAATTCCCATCCCCAGCCTTTGATTTAGCATTATGAGGGAAAGCCTGGATTTGGAACATCATGATGTAAATGCACAATTTTGTGTATTCTTTCTCAGAAATAAGCAATAGGACAGAATCCTTAGTAAGCATGTCTTAAGCTGCATGCTAAAAGCCCTTTTGCTACACATTTGGTATTTCTTGGCTGAGTAAATCCTGATGAATTTGATAGAATCACTCTACTGTGAAGGATCAGTTGGTTCACATATATGCTTAAAATGCATATTCAAAGTTTCACTGTTATTTACCTGAGTATAATGTATTTTTTCCTGACAATATAGGTGAAGTAATTGCTTTTTTCTTTGTTTTACATTACAGCAGGAAAAGAGTCCAGAAAATGCAAGAAATAAAGGTAAGTTACTACATGGTGAATTTAAAATCCTCACTTTACTTTTTATTATTGGAACCCAAAGTGTTTGCTCCTTATCGCAAATGCATATTTAGACATAAAATACTCCCAGCTCCCAGCATTCTTTAGCCAACTGTAATATGTTTTATCTGTTTTTCAACTTAACCTGGAATGAATAGCTAAACCTAGAATAACATGATCTCTCTTAAGTTAGATGCATGTTATTTTTACTCACTGTTCAGAGGGACTGCAAGTTTTGCTTAGAAAAATATGAAGATGTCAATAGAATGTCCTTTAGGGAATTAGGATATATTGTACTTCCACATTTTAGGAGCATGGGTGTGTTTAGTTCATTAAGCATGTTCTGGTTGGTTTATACTGTGCAAGGGCAGTGCTGAAACTACACAGCAGCATGATATGGAAATATGTGTTATTAGTCGCACGCCCCCAAATGCCAGTAAATAAATAATAGTAATTTTTAAAAATGAAAATAGCCACAGTTGGTTTTGACTCTTTCCCCCAAGTGGGAGCTGTATATGGAATTAAAACTATGCCCATGAAGAAGGAAGTAATAGATTACCAGAATAAAGTAGCTTTGCCTAGGATTATCTATGATGTGTGTGTGTGCATGCTGAAATTACCTAGTGAGCTTCTCTTGATGTAATACATGCACAACTTTAGAGTTTCTTCATCACACTCCTCTTGTTCATTTCAACTGCCCTGAATTTCTGATCTGGCTCAAGACAGAACAGGATTCTCTTGCAAAAGCTTTATTCATCAAGATAGCATACATAAACTTAAGCTGGTGCCTGAAGGACATGCCCAACAGTGAGGCTTCGGGTTCTTTTATTCCTTGAGGTAGACAAGCTGCATAGCTTTCACATCACACCAATTCTCTCTTATCCCCACCTTCTTGCTTTACCTGGCCTACTTTGGAGAGCTTTCTCTGCATAGTATCAATCTATACATTCACCTCGCTTTCAAATTGAATTTTTACATCACACAACTGAGAAGTATGCAATGCTGTGATCATTACTAGTTATTTGTAGGCATCCAGCACAAAGTGAAGCAAAATTGTGTTGTCCCAGTGTGGGAGGTATAGGTAAAAAGACACCAGTTTCTGAAGGACATATGTAGCAGGGTGCCATTGCATTCATGTCCTGCTTGTGGGTTTCCCACGGGCAGCTGGTTGGCCACAGTGTGGGCAGGAGGCTGGATTAGATGGTCTGATCCAGCATTTGTCTTTTAATGTTCTTTGCTGAGTTAGGCCCACCTGTCCCCCTAACCAAGTAACATCTCCAGTGATTGGCAGTGGCACAACAGGGTGTCATCTTCCAACCTGAAGATCCCAGTGACTGAAAACAGGCTCTCTGAAACTAAGACATGTGCTCAGCCACTAAGCTGTCTCCCAAATTATCCAAATTCAGGCTATACTTGTGGGCCATTGAGTTGGCCAAGCTAAGTACCTGCATTAGCCTTACAGGTGGATTGCTTGGAATCCAATATTATGGCAGGCTCATGAAAAGTTATGGAAAAGCCAAAGGTCATTAATGGTCTTGCAAATGTACAGTCAGTTCCTGCTTATCCAATCAAAATACTGGACAGAACAGCACAGAATATTGCTGGAAATGAAGTTGAAGCCTGTAACTTGAAAAGTGGAAAATGCATGCACACACCCAAGCCTCCCATCTAGACTTCCCATCAGATTTGTGGAGACTCTGATGTGCCCAACATGTGGCAGCAAGCACTTCCCATTAATTTCAATATGGAAGTACTCAATGTGTTCATCTACTCTGACAAGCAAAGCTGTTTCTTTCATTGAAGTTAATGGAAGCTCTTGCTGGCACATATGCTCACCACAGCACGGATGCCTACAAGGAATTAATGGATTAGGTTAAAAAGAAAATTATGACTACCCAATATTTGTGTGCATAAGCTGTTTGCTCTCTCCACTGCAATTAAAAATTGCTCTTCTGAACTCAGCATGAAGCTTGCTGCACATTTTTACTTGCTTTGTAGGTTTTGGAAGGGTGGTTAGTGAAAAAGTTAATAGATCTGTAGATGTTTAAGTACATGCTTATTGTATCTCTCTGTGAGAGATACCTCATGCCCTTTGCCTTCCTCTTACACACCATCAAATTATCTAGAAAGTGTTTTTCTGCACAGCAGAGAGTGCTAAGCAGGCTCTTAAGAATAATTTTCAAGCATGCTGTCTCCATGCAGTGAGGAGGTCACCAATATGCTGCAAGCTGGCAAGACCCAGCATGCTCAGAGGTTCATTAGGTCTCCAATTTAAGAGACTAACCAAGTATACAGTTGTCGAAGGCCTGTAAAATATTTCTAACAAGTCTATCCATTAAAGTCTGCCAACTCTAGTTTAGGGGATGAATCCACAATCCTGAAGCAGCTATGTGAAACACTGTTTTGCCGCAACTGAGCATTCATGCATTGGTATCCATAATAACTACATCTGACTTTTCTTCCAGATTTTCCCACATATACTATTCTATACTCCTTGTCTTTATATCCACTAAATTATGAAGATTTCCTTGATTGGGTAAACATCAAAATACAAACCACAAAATGCGTACCTCACTTTTCCAAACATGTACATTTCCATAAAATGTACATTTAAATGCTCAGTGTCCAACATTAATGTGTCTTCAGTGTTTTACCAAACCAGACTGATTCTCCAACCAAGCTTCACATTCTAGTTTCAGATTCCTAAATAATGTAAGTTCTGATTATAAGTAAATATGGTTAATAGTGGGCCCAAGATAGCCCTTAAGTGTGGTTATAGTGATTCATTTCATTTCATCTGGTGGACAGGAAGAAACATTCATATATGAGAAAAGAAAAGCTGGGGAGATATTGTGTAGCTGAACACCTTGATACATGAAGCCAGTGTGGTGTGATGGTTAGAATGTTGGACTGGGGAACTAAAAGATCTGAGTTCTAGTGCCCACTTTGTCATGAAGCTCACTGGCTGACTTTGGGCCAGTCACAAATAGCCTAACCTAGCTCACAGGGTTGTTGTGAGGATAACAGGGAGCTATGTAACTTTACCTGAATGCCTCATGAAGGGAAAAAAAAAGGTAGCATATAAATGCAATGTAATAATAACACTAAAGAATCAGGAATAAAAAGTTTGGATTGACCCCCTTATTTGTAATATTCTATGTATTTTGCCTCCTTCATGGATCACTGCCTTGTCGTGGCAAAGGGGCTTGAGTAGCACAATGAAGCTATGAGCTATGCCGTGCAGGGCCACCCAAGAAAGATAGATCATAGCAGAGAGCTCTGACAAAATGTGATCCACTGGAGAAGGAAATGGCAACCCACTCCAGTATCTTTGCCATGAAAACCCCATGGACAGTACCAAAAGGCAAAAAGATATGACACCGGAAGATAAGCCCTTCAGGTTGGAAGGTGTCCAATATGCTACTGGGGAAGAGCAGAGGGCTAGTACTAGTAGCACCAGAAAGAATGAAGCAACTGGGTCAAAGCCAAAAGGACACTCAGTTGCAGATGTATCTTGTGGTGAAAGGAAAGTCTGATGCTGTAAAGATCTATACTCCATAGGAACCTGGAATGTAAGATCCATGAATCAAGGCAAGCTGGATGTGGTCAAACAAGAGATGACAAGACAGAACATCGACCTCTTAGGAATGAGTGAACTAAAATGGACAGGAATGGGTGAATTTAATTCAGATGACCATCAGGTATACTACTGCGGGCAAGAATCCCTCAGAAGAAATGGAGTAGCCTTCATAGTCAATAAAAGAGTAGGAAAAGCAGTACTGGGATACAATCTCCAAAATGACAGAATGAACTCAGTTCGAATCCAAGGAAAACCATTCAACATCACAATAGTCCAAGTCTATGTCCCAACCACTGGTGCTGAAGAGGCTGAAGTTGACCGGTTATATGAAGGCCTACAACACCTTCGAGAATTAACACCCAAAAATGATGTCCTTGTCATCATGGGGGATTGGAATGCTAAAGTAAGAAGCCAAAAGATAACTGGAATAACAGGCAAGTTTGACCTTGGAGTACAAAATGCAGCAGAGCACAGGCTGGTAGAATTTTGTCAAGAGAATATGATGGTCATAGCAAACACTCTTTTCCAACAACCCAAGAGACGACTCTACACATGGACATCACCAGACGGTCAACACAGAAATCAGATTGACTATGTGCTCTGTAGCCAAAGATGGAGAAGCTGTATACAGTCAGTAAAAACTAGACCAGGAGCTGACTGTGGCTCAGATCATGAGCTTCTGGTTGCAAAATTTAGGCTTAAGTTGAG